AAACGTCAAATCGCCCGACATAGCTATCTATTTATACTTGTTTATTATGTGATGGGTATTTGTAGCACCCTTGGAAAAGATCATGTGACACCTGCATAAGCTTCGAATCCACAATAATTCTCGAGCCCATTACATAAAATGACTAATGCAAAATACCAATATATACTCGGCCATACAATCTTTTACTTTGACAGGGTACAATGGCAAAATAAAACGACTAACATGTGGCAAATGCACGTACGTACTACTTGATTGTCCACTGGCTTCCTATAACTGGAGTGTCTACTGGCTTCCCAAGATCTTCTTCCCACGATGGCTGAGATTAAAATGGATTGTGCAATGACGCTCTGCAGACCAAGAAACCTTGCGCTTGCTTGAAGTGTCATCCGGTCTCCTGTCACCTGTCATCAGGGTATACAACACACCACCATCACAACATTTCACAACAAAAAAAAAGGATGAATTTTTTGGCGACTCTTTCTGACCATAGATATGAAAATATGTGCGACTGCAGAGTGTGTAAGTAGCGCCAAAGACCCCCAAGCGACTCTTTTTGGTACTTATGAAATAGTCAAGAAGTTATATTCCTAGATAAATAAGCATTGGTAAAAGTTTATATCATAGATAAATAATTATATCATGAATATATCATAGATAAATAGATATAATCTATAGTTCGAGCGGAAAAATTAATATCGAAATAACATTAGTACGACTTCACAAATATTCTATTTATGTTGCCATATAACATAAAACATGTAATTGAGAATTACTATTATTAATTCCAAGTAAAAATTCCTATACTAATCCATTAGGTTCATACTAATAATGTAATTAAAATGTTAATTATACACAAGCATTGTTTTAATAATTCACATTGCATGTATTGCAGACCTATCTCAATGAAAATATTTCAATCCTAATTCAAGAAATAAAATTTAACGTAAACATAAGAAAAATCAATAGAACATATAATTAGTCTTACCAGAGTTTTAGTTTGTCCTAGATTAAATTAGTAGATCTTTTAGAGTTTCAGTAAAGATCGGCCGGGGCGTTTCTTTGGGGTTTCGAAACTTTGTATGGGCAAAGTTCATTTTGTTAATGAATATCCTAAAATATTGTAAGTCTACAAAGGAGTGGTTTAATTAAAAAAAAATTAAAAATTATTTGATAATATAGTAAATTGTCTAAAAATATTGTAAGTTGTCTGAAATTGTTCAAAAATTATTTGATAAGATAGTAAGTTGTCTAAAATTGTTCAAAAATTATTTGATAAGATAGTAAGTTGACTAAAATTGTTAAAAAATTATTTGATAAGATAGTAAGTTGACTAAAATTGTTCAAAAATTATTTGATAAGATAGTAAGTTGACTAAAATTGTTCAAAAATAGTTTATTTAAAAAGTATTTAAAAAATATTTAAACTAGTTGGTTTGGTATTTAGCCTTGAGGCAAGTTACATGAATATGTGTAAATAATCGACTTAATCAATAAATAATAATTTAATTCATGAGTGATTATAATTATTGAATATTAGAATATTTAAATATTCCGAGTGGATTTATTACACATCATTGAAAACACGTTAACTCTGAGTATTTTCTGAAAGCAAACTTTCACAAATCAATAATTTTTATAATTGAACCAGTTTCTGTAGGACTTCAATGGTTTAGTATGTTCATTAAGATCAAGTACTCTATCGTTATACCAAGTAAATCGTCTAATTTTGATTTTAACAAACGTCAAAAAACTACTCATTTTCTCAAACGTTGATTTATTTTTAAAATTAAACTACTGTCATAAGGCCGTAATATTTCAGTAAGTTTTATAAGATCATGATATATATCACCAAAAAAAGTTCCATAAAAATCCGTATGAATTTTTTTTCAACAGTTAATTAAAAGAAAACGGCTCGGTAGATTTTCACCTAAAAATGATTAGTATCATTCTCAACTAATATCTTTCGAACAGTTTTTGATTTTTTAAAATCGAGTCGGTAGTTTGAGCTTAAATGTGGATGAAAAGTTTAACACTTTTTTTCAAATTACAAAGAAACGGCTCGGCAGATCGTCTCACAAAACTGACAAATTATAGTCCTCATTGAGATACATCAAATGACTTTCAAATTTATGAAATCGGTTTAGGCGTTTTTGAGAAAACGTCGATCAAAGGTTTAATTTTGTCAAATGCCAAAAAAACGATACCAATTTTTGCAAACTTTTTCAAAGTTAGACCAATTGTCGTGGAGCCGTAATATTTTAGTATGATCTAGAAGACCATGGTATCTACCGTCAAAAAAATAATAAAAATCGTCGAAAATTTTTTTTAGCACTTCATTACAAGAAAACGGCCCGGCCGATCACTACCAACAACTCATCACTCATTCCAAATTTGGTCTCATTCGATTCAGAATG